AGCCAGTGCTCTACTATCTCAACAGAACAGAGCCACAATGATAATTTTTTTTTCCTTTAAAAAACAACCTACTAAAAAGCCAACAGCTCCGAATTCCTCAAGAAAGATAACACAGTCAGCAACAGTAAACTGTCTCACCCTGTTCCACACTTCAGGCCATTTGCTGCAAAGTATCTTAACAGCTTTTCACAAAGCGATGACCACCTGTTCCCACAGCTTGCAGCCATGGGAAAATCAACCACCATTACAGACTCTTTCCAAAGACATTTTTCCATTTTTCAGCAGTGGTACCAAAACCCCAAACAAAATTTGAATCCTCAACCCCATAGCATATCAAACTCACTTAGTACTGGAACAATCTTTTTTATTTGCAAGTTATTTGGCTGTTCTTCTTCCACTCATACGTATATTTGGGCATCACAGTTAAACAAAAGTACCTGTGTTAACATTTTAACTCTAAGCATTGACTGGAGTCTACAACTGCTTAAGCTTCCAGCAACGAAATATGAGCAATTCTAAGGTTACAAAAGGCAACCAGTAAACACATGAAAGGTCCTGAGAAGATCTAGCATGCTATGCTTTCCTAGGAAGTGGTATCTACTGCAAGGAAACACTTCAGTCAACTTCTTAAAAGAACACTGCTGAAAGCAGAACTACGAAGTACTTGAGAAAGCTGGTAGAACAACATACTTCAATCTCTACAATAATCTCTCAGCACATGCTGTGGGGTGCTCAGATATTAAAATAAGGTGGTGGGAAACGAAAGCATATCGAGGACAAGATTGCACAACTGCATCACATTTAACAAGCTGCTCATTTGATGGCACCATTGCAAATCCTAATCCAAGCAAAGGCTTTTGAGCTTTCACCTCACTGATTCTCTCTCACAGGAGCCTCCACCTCCCACTCTACTCCTGTGACCGAGAGTTCTACACAACTCAGAGACGAAAGGAGAGCGAGCTGACCTTTGTGTAACGATGTGGGTATTTTGTTGTAATTCTGTTCAGCTCCAGGAAAGCATCGCCATTTTCAGTTTCTGTTGCACCTCCTCTTTTATCCATGGTTACTTCAAAGCCTTTGACCGCGGAGCTAATTAGAACAAAACCAACCCGTCAGATTTCAAGACGTACCTTTCTAGAGGGTGCATTTTCTTCCCAGCCTCAGTCAGTTTAACACTTGGGCAGAGCAAAGTAGAACCGCGTTCCCCACCAGCGCCTGTCCCCTCCCAACTCT